ATGGAGGTGCTCTACGTGTTCTATTTCAGACCGCGGCAAGAGATACTTCAAAGGAGTGAACCAGCCCTTCTATTCTCTTTAGCCCTGCTGGAAAACATCCCTGAGGATGATCTGAAGAGATCCTGCAGAGGATCAAAATGGACATGTCATCACAATTTTGATCCTCTGCAGAAGGGATGGCACACCCGCTTCGGTAGCCCGACGACCTGCACTCGAATTCGAGCACTTTACGGTAGAACAGTTTTACGAGGACCAATACCGCACACCCTCGGTCCCTACGCAGGCTGATCCAAGTGGTCACCCACCCGCACACTGATCGTAGCCAGTGATGCTTGACTTCGGCGATCTGCTGGGAACGATGTCTTAACAATCAGTCCACTGCGGGCCTGTAATTATAGAAATAAACCAAAAGTTTTCTTCGTTCCCAACCTATAGCTACGGTCTACTTATAAGGATATTTATTTGGCAACCCTACCTTCGGTCATTCATCTGTCCGCATTTAAATCGGTACTTTCTAAATTATTTTATTTGCTCGTGTTCTTTTAAAGCTATTTTCGAAAAATTAGTTAACCCTCTCACGCGATCCAAAATTAGCGCATCTTGCAATTTCCATGGAGATGCAGCCACGGCCTTAGATAGGGTTTAGTTATATAATTTGAATAAATAAAATATGCAAACTTCTCTAATTTTGGACGAAGGATTTTCCTCTCAAATAGTTGACTAATGTGAGTTTAGTTTTCGTAAGGATCTTTCCTATATTTATCTTCATTTATTATTTATCTTCGTATTTATCTTCATTTACTATTTTAATTCATTTTAATATGATTATAATAAATTTCTATCTACAGAAGTTAAAACATCTCATAATCCTCTCGAAATGAACCAATTTTAAATTTAAGGCATTAATAAGGCAAAATATGATATGTGAACTACTTTCTTGTAAAAGTGGTAGATTCATGATTATATTTTTATTATTAATATGTTATATTCTAAATGTATCTAAACCAAACTGGATAATTCTTTGTTAATTTTAAGTGCAATGTGCATATTTTTATGCAATTTAGTTTGAAAATTTAGTATAAAACTACATAAAAATGTAATATTTTGCGATAATTTAATTTATAATAAGCGTTAAAGAAACATAAAATGACTGTGCTCAAAACAAGATTCTCAGCTGATTTCTCAGAAACTATCCGACCGATTTCGCTCAGATATTGTATTTTGTAGTTTAAAATTACATTCTTCAAAATGAAATAAAAAATTTTATGCCTTAGAATTTAAAATTTTTTCAACTATTATTTAATAAAATAATTAAAAAATATATTTACCAAGAGTTATGTTTTGCATGGAATTATCTTTGGGTAAAAGAATTGTATTATTTTGTGCAAAAATTTTTGAATTCGCTTAAAAAGTTCTTGAGATGAGACATACACAAAAAGTAAAATTAACATTAAGGGATCCAAACTTCTAACCTCTCTCCTGACCAAACTATTGGGACCATATTTTTCCAATTGCGGTTACTTTCACCCTTATATTTTGTGGGTCAGAAATTCGAGTCCAGCTAAATAAAGGCATTCAGAAAAAGTACGTTTTTGTTTGTTATTTCGTAACTTAAAATATCGTCAGCACTAATTAATTGGCATGTATGAGTACACTCACTTGAATCATTGAGTCCCAGAACATTAAGATCCGATCATTAGTTAAAAAAATATTTAGAGTGGTTCTTTTTTTTTTGGTAATCTTTTCATCACTGTACTTAGTACAATAGTACTTATTCTATGCAAAGATATCATATAGCTGTCAATTTTTTAAATCTCCCAGAATATATTTTTCTGCGGTATTTGCGTAATTTAACTCCGTTAAAGCAGCGAAAATTGATTTATTTTTACCATCAATAAACAATAATGTATAATTATCAGATTATTTCTATCTTTTATTCACTTATATATTCAAAAGAATAAATTCAATCTTTACAAATCAAATTCATAATCGAAGAATCAAAAAGAATAATTTCAATTTCATAATTCGTAATCAAGAACTTTTTTTCACTGCGAAACATTTTTTTTGAAGAGTGTCAGTTGATAAAAGAAGCTTTAAATTACGTCGGAAAAAAAAATTTGTTAACACTTAAAATTAGTATACAGCTTCTTTCGAAATTTTATTATCATTTAATTCAAAAAATTAAAACCGCAGATTACGAATTAGCTAGAATTTTATAAAAAAAATTACAATTGCTAATCCCTCCTATAGTTTCACCAAATCTAGGCTCTTAAAACAGAATCTTATATGATGTTAAAATAGTAGTACTATTGTGGGAAATTTATTTTTAATGAATCTGTTACTTGCTAAGCAAGGAAAACAGTTGGAAGAATATTTCAAAAATAAAACTTGTAATTTAAGTAAAATAAAATAAAGATAAAGCCATCGGCCAGGGCAATAAATAAAAAAATTGTCACGTTATAGCTTTATTAATTATGTCGATACATGTCTGTCACTTTTGTGCATGATTTCGTATTGTTAATTAGAGCTATGGGGTCGATTCAAACCCAACCCCGGACTTGGCTGAGAGTTCTTTTAGTTTCTATCTGTCTACTCTGTTAAAAATAGATAAGTAGATTTTTTGATGGACTTTTCTCCATAATTACATGCATTACAAGTGCATCTGACCTCATATCGTAATTTACTGTTAGTACCAAATTTACAAAGAGGAGAAACTATTGAGAGAAAAACAAAATTTTTTTAGGGACGTGGCGAATCCTAAGATGAATAAATGTCAAATAAAATAATTTTAAAAATTAAAAAAAAACTACTTTTATAAGCTTTTATATAAAAAGGTAAGAAATAAAATAACTTATTAGAATTGAGTTGATATAGTCTCAGTTTATTGTTTATTTTCCAAACAGAATGTTCATTTTTTTGTCTTAAAATGCGTTGCAAAAATTTCTTATGAAATTTTTAACGAAAGCAAACAAAAAGTTTATTTGATGTTATTATTTTTATTAGAAAACTGACTTTTTTTCAGCTTTCTTTATAAATTTTACTAGTTTTTATACCTTAAGATTGATTAACATTTTAAGATCAAATTTATATAAAATGATCATAATATGCGGAAAATTAACTGAATCTATATTAACTCAATTCTTAGAATTTACTTTACTTCGCACTTTTTTATGCAAAAACATAAAAAAGTTTGATTTTTAAAACTTTTTTTTGCAATTATTTTATTAGTGATCATTTTGCTTTCGTTTTAAATAAAAATTATTTATCCATTGTTGTCAAAAAAATTAATTCCATCGAGATTTTCCTTTTAACAGCTCACGCTTAACTTGATGTCAAGACAAGACTCTAAACGTCGAAAGTTAAAATATAAAAAAAATTGAACAAAAACTATAAGAAAAAGAGATGTTTCCTAATAAAAATCATACATAATATCGATTTTTTTTAATAATATCTCAAGAGGGGTAAAGTGAATTTCCAATTTGAACAATTATACATTATATAGTTAGTATGATAGAGTGTTAACAAGTAAAATAACTTCTCATGTATTACTTCTTATTGAGTCACATGTTCCAAATTTTACTAAATTCCTTAATTTAAGTACTTTTTCTTCAGAACAATTTTTTCTTTCAAATCCAGGTTCATCGTTCATTTTGTTATTATTAACCAATTAGCAAAATAATTTTTACGTGCGGCAATAATGCTTTTATATCTTATAAACTAAATAATCTTTATTAATCTTATTTTATTAATTATAATCCTTATTTTAATTATTTTTATTAGCCTTTAAAGGGAAAAAGAAGAAAAGAGAGATCTTCTCGGGGGTTAGGGAGGGGATCTGTGAGCGGAGCCTGCTAGTAATGTAAATAAGGTAAAATTTTCGTTCTCTAAATGATTAAATGCAATAATGTATTTTTGTTACTTGAGTTTGTAGGCCCAGCAACTCAGCATTTCCATAAACGCATAGTAGAGAAAGAATAACAAATATTTTCTGATAAAGGTTAAATTGTTCTCACATTCGCTCCTAATAAATAAAAGCACGCGTTAAAATCAACAACCTTAATTTATAAATGAATTTTACAAGTGGTAGGAAGATTTTATTAAACAAATGTAGTAAAAGGTAATTTTGTTTTCAAAAACATGTTAATTTTTGCGTTATTTTGGAGCATTGTGCTATATTTTCAGTAGAAGCTGATTAGGGCTCATATTGAACAGAAGCATGTGCGACTTTACCCAAAGATGTAAAATGCAGCGTTATTTTGGAGCATTGCGTTATATTTTCAGTAGAAGCTGATTAAGGCTCATATTGAACAGAAGCATGTGTGACTTTACCCAAAGATGTAAAATGCACCTTTTATATTTCTTGTAAAAAATAGCTTTTAATAAATTTTTATGAACATTTTATATGATAAAAATCTAAACATTTTGAGTTGTGCAAATTTATATATCATTTATAACATTTTGTTATAATAGCATTTATTCTACACTTAGAACATCGGCCGTTATAATGGAACTGTAATGAGAATTGTTATACGAGAGTAGCCAGCATATCAAAAATGTCCCTGTGAGAAATCAAAAGATTATAATTTTTTATGAAACAATTAAAATGGCTTTTAGTTTAGTTTAAAGCTTAAATATGAAACAAATTTTAGTTTTCTAAAAAAAGAAAAAAATACATATATATAT